TGGATGCTGTGGTTGCTAAAGAAAAAAGTAATTAAACAAGAGACTGATAAGAAGAAGCTTTTGACAAAACAGTTTTATACCAAATGAAGAAAGAAAGATTTCAGTTCAGATGATGCTTAGTAATTGAATTTCAAAAGACATTGCCACATTAACATGACCATAAAACAATAAATTTTGTTCTGTGGTAACTGAACAAAATTCTTAAGGTTGATGACACTGATAAATACAGGTGTGCCACTGACAAGCATACTTTGAAGAAGCAAAGCTTTTCAAGGCATCTATAAGGCAAAGTTCTTGTCCTATTTTTTCGATTTCATGTTTCTAGCAGTGGCAGTAACACAGAGGGAGCCATTGGGAATAAGAACTCAGTGGCCATCTGCATTATTGCTACCATGCTCAGCAGACTTAGAGCATTGGTCAAATATCCTTATACACACTGTTTGATGTGCTAGCTGTTGTTCATGTCTCAAGCAATTTGTACCTTTAAGTTTTTAACCTGAAACGTAGAAATGAGATTTTTTTCCAGTTTGCTCTACAAATTGGTTTCTCAAGTGCCTATAATTTTAAACATTCCTAATTCTATAATTACTGTTATAGCTTTTATTAAAATCAATGCTAAATGCTTTGTCATAAAGATTTATATAAAGAAAGAAAATTATGCAATCCAAACAATTTAGTTCCAAGGTTCACTTTGGAATGGAAAAAAACAGGCCATAGAAACTCTGTAGAAGCCATAAAAATGCACAGAAAATGGAGTTTTGCAATGACAGCAAGAGAATTGGCATTATAGATTTCTTTAGACAGAATATTTATGACATTAAAATTAATTATATAAAAGATTAGAGAGAAAATAATTTTTAACACAAATAGTTTGAGAAAATTATGATAAAATTCAGTCCAGCTTTGCAATTTTTTTAATAGTTTTATAATGCCTGAAATTCATTACAAGGCAGCTGTTAGTTAGCTTTACTATTTGAAAATATCAAAGTGAGATCAATAACTCTTCATGTCTCTTACAATAGAGGTAGAAGTCACTACATCTTATTTTGTTCCTAGATGTACCTCCACTTAAGAAATCTTTCTAAGAATGGTCTCACTACTTATGTTTAAGTGTGGGATGTCTTTCATCTCAAGGCAGCATTTCTGAATTTATTTAGTTATTTGGTCTCTTTGTTGATACTTCAGACTGTTTTATCCTGTTTTACATTCCAAAATGCTTCAAAACAGATACAATAATTAGTATTGTTCAAGACAAGAACTAGCTCTTCTGCCTGAGTGTGGTATGTTTTTTTCCTTTACAATAGGTAATTGAAACACAGCTATCCATTGTATGATGTTAAATATGCATTTGGATAGACTTTGTGCCGCTAAAAGGAGGAGTTCTGCTGTTGGGTTTTGCATGTGACAATGACATGGCAGTTGCAATGCATTACTTTATCTGGGCAGAGGGATGAGTGACACTGGGACAGCCTTGGGTGTGGGGCACTTTGGTTGCCAGCTGAAATTAGACCAAAGAAAGAAACAAATACAAAAACTTGCAATTAGATGAAATTTTCTTTTGCAGAGTGTTATGTTTTTATGAAGTGAAAAATCAATATGTAGAGGAACGTTAATTTTATTGCACGCTAAAACT